CTTCCTCTAGTCTACATCTGACAGCCTACATGCTGCAGCATTCAAAATTGTGCTTTGCACTCATATAAAAGCTATACTTATAATACATTCAATTATTATATGTTTCCTAATGCCTTTCTTTCTTTCTTTACACAGATCCCTTAACATTGTTCCTATATTCTTTCCCTAATCTCTTCTGTGATTTAACTCATCTTACATTAACCCATCCACTCTTAAGTAAACACCATATATCTCATTCTTTTATATTCCAATCTGATATACAACCTTCTCCTTTCCCAATATTCTTAATCTCATCACCTTGTTCTTTTTCTGTGCTCACTCAACTTTTGTCTTCTACACATCCTCCTAAACTCCTTTACCAACTTTTCTTCTAAATACTTCAAAAGCATTGCATCATCAACAAAAGAACAACTCTCACATTATATTTGATTCATTATCTTTTGTGCCCACACGTTTAGTAATTCCCCCCCCCCCTTTTTTTAACACACTGGCCGTCTCTAACCAAGGCAGGGTTACCCGAAAAAGAAACACTTTCACCATCATTCACATTATCACTGTCTTGCCAGAAGTGCAAAGATATGACAGTTTAGATGTCCTTCTAAACAGCAAATATCCCAAACCCCTCCTTTACATTGTAGGCACTGTACTTCCCACCTCCAGGACATCATCTTTCCCTATCAAATGCTATCTTCACTGAAAACTATTGCTTACTATCTCTTCTCTTAGCCCTTTGGGGGTTTCGGACGTACTAGTACGTCTTACAACCCAGGGTTTTTGACGTACTAGTACGCCTAAATTCTAGCGCCCTCAAATCTAGTGAGAGAAAGCTGGTAGGCCTACATATGAAAGAATGGGTCTATGTGGTCAGTGTGTGTAGTATAAAAAAAAATCCTACAGCACACAGTGCATAATGAGAAAAAAAAAACTTTGACCGTGTTTTTGGATTAAAACAGCGACTTTGCACTGTATTTTCATATGGTATTTATTGTTGTATTCTAGTTTTCTTGGTCTCATTTTATAGAATGGAAGACATATTACAGAAATTGAGATGATTTTGACTGGTTTTACAATGAAAAGTACCTTGAAATTGAGCTCAAAGTAACAGAAATGTTCGATTTTTACCAAAGTTCAAAAGTAAACAAATCATGCCAAGTGTCCAATACACGTTAACTGGTGAGTCTGATATTCTTTTACAAGTGTGCTGATATTATTTATACCATTTCTACACTAATGCAGTAGTTTGCATAACAGTAAATCTTATTTTTTTTTTTTTGTAAGAATAAAAATTCAAAGTGGAAGGCCAAATAAATATAAGAGGGGCCTAGGGATGTGACTAATGAACAGAGAACTTGTTATTTTAGTGCCAGGAATGTCTTTCTTGTTTATTCTGGACCCTATTCGGAAATTGGCATCTTTTGAAATTTGTGTGAAATTGGCAAAATTGCTAAATTCTGACCACTTTATTTGATAGTTGAAATCGGTAAATGGATGGTTTCTTGTACTCATTCGATAGAAAAAATGGAGTTCTAGAGAAATAGTTATGATTTTTGTCGACTAGTACACTGGAATTGGCCGAAAATAGGGTTCAAAGTGGGCAAAATCGCTGACACGTAAACATTGTTGAGTCCGCTAACTTCGCAAGAGCATAATTCCGTAAGTTTTCCATCAAATTTCATACTTTTGGTGTCATTATGATTGGGAAAAGATTCTCTATCTTTTCATAAGATTTTTTTTTTTTTTTTTAAATTTGGCTGACCCTGAGAACAAGTCTCTGAGAGGACCTGTCGACCCCCAAAGGGTTAACAACACTATAGCTTTTTAAAACATAATACCTGTTCCATAATTTTACATCACCAGCCACATCACTTCTTTATTCACACTGTTGTAGGCCTCCTACAAATCTGTAAATGTAACAAAACAACTCCTTATTATTTATAGCATACTACATATTTATGTGCTTAATTACCTCTTGATACAAACATCCCAATTTCTTCCTAAATCTATGTTGTTCATTGGCTAAAATAATTTCTGCATTTTTTCATAAATCTTTTTAACAAATCTGCATTCTTTAATATAATTTTTACACTCTCTCCCTCGTTTTTTCTCTACAGAAAGGGCAAATGGATTCTCTCAGCCAATGTTTAGGTATCTACCCCTTCTTTCATACATACATTAACCCCTTGACTGTCGCAACCCCAAATCCTGAGGTGTCTCCTGGTGTCGCAAAAATTTCCCCAAAAAAAAAAAAATTATTTTTTCTTATGAAATAATAAGAGAATCTTTTCCCGATTGTAATGACGCCAAAAGAATAAAATTTGATGGAAAACTGATGGAATTACGCTTTCGCGAAGTTAGCGACCTCGGTGATATTTACGAATTGGCGATTTTGCCCACTTTGAGCCCTATTTTCGGCTAATTTCATTGTTCCAGTCGACCAAACTCATAGCTATTTCTTTAGAACTTCATTTTTTCTATCGATTGAGTACAAGAAACTGCCCATTTACCGATTTCAACTACCCAATAACGTGGTAAGAAATTTGCAATTTGGCCAATTTCACGAAAATTAAAAAATACGAGTTTCAAAATAGGGTCCAGAATGAACAATGCAGACATTCTTGGCTCTAAAATAACATTTTCTTTGTTCATCAGTCATGTCTCCAGGCCCCTCTGATATTACTCTTGCTTTCTATTTTGAATTTTTATTCAAACAAAAAATAGAAGATTTACTATTATGCAGACTACTGCAATATTGTAATAATTGTATAAATAACATAACCCATTCATGACTGCATATTAGAATGGGTACTTGGACATTTATTGGAAAATTACATCATTTGTTTACTTTTGAACATCGGCAAAAATCAAACATTTCCCCTACTTTGAGCTCCATTTCAAGGCTCTTTTCATAGTAAAACCAATCAAAATCACCACTATTTCTATAGTATGTTTTCCATTCTATCAAATGAGAACAAGAAAACGAGAATACAACCATAAATACTATACGAAAATAGACCACAAATTCAGCATTTTAATTAAAAAAACTGTCGGAGTTTTTTTTCCTCGTTATGCACTGCGTGCTCCAGGATTTTTTTATATGTTGCACACTGACCACACAGACCCATTCTCTCACATGTAGGCCTACCAGCTTTCTCCTGCTTGATTTGAAGCCACTAGAATTTGTGACTATACGTATATACATCAAAAGCGGTGGCTCGTAAGACGTATATATACGACCAAAACAGTCAAAGGGTTAAACAAATGTACTATTCCAAAAACTATATTTCCTCCTGCTTTCTTCATCATAGTCTTTCCTCCATCTATCCCTGCTGCCTTTCCCACTAAACTTCTTGATGTACAGTAATTCCTAAGACAGCTAATTCACCAGTTAACTAACCTTTTAAGTTTTCATCCATCGTTTAGCTTACTGCTGCAAAGCTACAGCTTTCACACACTCATACTCTCTAAGGAATCTGTAAATTTTATAATTCGTCACTTGTAACTCCATAATGCAGAACTCCGAAAATACTAGTATGTTCACAAGCAACTGCTAAACCCACAAGTATCATACAGCACTGAATAATGGAATAGGTGGGTTTAATCATGCTTGACACAAGAAAAAAAAAAAGAGTGCAGTTTCAAATCCTTGATCAAAAACCCTTCAGTAGTATCAAGGCTCTTTCCTTGAAGGAAGAATTGTACAGAACTCACAAATTATTACCTTTCCTTACATATTTCTGGTGTTGGTTCTAAATCAGTGTACCATATTATTAAACTTTCCATCCACTGCCATTATGTAGAACAAAATACCATTTGATATCCTGCTGGAAATATGGCATCTGAAAATATTTTGGTCAGCTTTGTCTCTGTGACAGCTACAATATTTGGGATTACCTCAGCTATCTGTTCTTCAAACTCATCACTGTTAATAACATAAATAACTCTTTTATGTGCGGGTTATTTGTGTATCATCACTGTTGTCTGATAATCCATCTGCATGTGTGTACCACACTCTGAGCCTACTTTCCCTTGCCATACACTGGTTTGCACTGTCTACACTTTCTTCGTGTTTCTCATCTGACAAGAGTAGAAGTAGGGCTGGGGTTGGTATGCACATCATTACCAGGAGATGAGTTAGGAATAAGGTTGTAGGCAGGAAAGGGTGCGAAAAGGAAGAGACTGGATGTTTAGTGTTGGAACTGGGGAAGTAGGGACTAGCCCAGAGATGGGCGCACCGGGAAAGTGGTTGGGAACGAAAATGGAGGAGTTCATTGAGGGTGGGTGCTCCCTCTTCCTGGACCCTTGTCTGCTGCTCTTCTCTATGACTGACAGGTTTTCACATATTCTCTCAGCTATTCATTTCTATTATTATCCTGTCCCAGCCCAGATATACACAAGTGTGGCTAAGTGCATGTGCATGTGCACATGAGAGGGTATTGATAGTAAGAGCAAAATCAACATTGCAACTATGGTACAAAATATCTTAAAACAATTTAAGTGTAACAAAAAAAAAAATACAAATTTAATGAAAATTTTTAAAAAACATTCTATTATTTACATATGAAAAAGTGTTATTAGGCATTGTTCATTGAAGTTCACCTGCTGACTTCACTCTTACTATTCACAACTCAAATGAGTATTAGCCACACTTGAGTCATAGCAATGGGAAAGGTAGTGTCTGCACTCTGAAGGAAGGGTTGGGAATGTTGCAGTTGGAGAGCAATTTGAATTCTAATGTTAGTAAAATTCTGGCAAAACTACTATTAAACAAATGATGGTGAATGTATTTCCTTTTCTGAGTTACCCTACCTTGGTGGGAGACAGCCACAGAGGTAAAAAATTATTGTTTTCATCATTTTTTATGCTTCATTTTCATTATCATTTCTTTCACAAGACATAAGCCAAACAACTCCAAAAGACATTGTTATTCAGATGATTTTTTTCCAGTGATTTTCTCATCAAGATGTCTTGATATTTAAATTGTTTTTCCAATTTGGCCATACCTTGTGGAGTGCCATGAAGAATGTTCAGCGTCAGAGAGCGATGGTTCTCATTATCTCCTGTAACAAAGATGGCATAGAGACATCTCCGCTGGCTGAGGTCTGTCAACACCTGTGATGGAGGAATGTCCGGGGGTGGGAACAACAGGTCCACAATCATATTGAAAGACTTTAATTGTGCTTCAATGTTCTCTGCATAATCTCTGTAGGATGGAAAATAATCAATATCAGTCTGACTTTTCTATTCATCTACTGTCCTTAATTCTACTCCAATTTACATCATTACAAAACACAAACTTAAGCTGCAGAAACACGAGAAGTTACCTTAATATTGTTACAATTAAAAAAAACGACAATTTCATATATGCAACTTACTATACTCTCTATTTTTAATTTCACCAATGTATATCCTTTATACTCCTACAACAGTATTTCAATTCCTTACTGAGAATTGATGTATTTCAACCTATACTAACTGTATTATATTTCCCAAGAGACAAATAATGTTATAAGATATGGCATCAAATTTAACATTAAACTTAAACAGCCATGAGAAAATTCTGACCCATAATTTGTGTACAATACAAAAAATTCTGAAATAACTGGATATCAAAGTATCTAAATATTATATCAAGACAGTGTAGAATACTGCATGAAGGCATGCAGCTTCACATATCAAATTAATTTGCCCAAGTGTTGGCAAGATAGTCCAGAGAAACATGTTTCAAATGTGTAGTAACCTAGATTCTAAGTCACAAAGGTAAATACAGTGTATATTAGCTAATACAAGTGAGCAGATTCCTCAACTTACCATACCTTCGACAACAGTAAACTACATATATCAAAGCCATGTGGGGAAAAAAATAGATACAGTCTTCTTATGACCTCCAACCCACTTAAATATAATTAAGTACATACAATAATAATAATGATTCCTTGCAATCATGATTGACCTATGGGTCCTACTAAGTTACTGTAATGAAATTTTGCTGCATGATTCTCAACCTCATACAACACACCCTTTATATGCTGTCATGGCACATGAGTCTTTCACACAGGCCACCATTCAGCAAGGTATGATAATCCAAAAAGAGAAAATGCATTCACTATCAAATATTCAGCACTGTGTGTGTGAAGACATCACAATGCAAATTACCCAATATTGTATTCTTGGGGAAGCACTAAACATGTAGGGGTTATGCAACACCTTAGGAAAGGAGGCTATCAGGTTTGATCCAAGGAAGGGAAGGGTATCTACAATTCCTGGAATCAAGAGCCCTTCAGCATCAAGGCATCTCCCTTGAAAGGGGGTGGTAGATGAGCCAATGCCAGCAGTTCCAAACCCACACTATGTCAAGTCATTGACTGTCGCAGCCTACACTCTCATGCTGTACTAAAAGTACTGTAAGGTCAAACCAGCCAGGGGGCACAACAGGTGAGAATAAAAATTTAAGGAATAAAAGAAGGAAATAAGGAATGTGGAGAAAGAGAATGCTATCAGATACTTGCAAGTTGATAAATATGACACATGTGCAACATTTAGGTATCTTTATATCAAAACATTTCACCTACATGTTTCAGCATAGATACCTAAATGTTGCATGTGCGTCTTTCTTATCAATTTGTTGTTATTGTATATCATTATCATATTCATACTTGCAAGTAAATATATCAACAGATGAGTTTATAAAGGATAGAACATATTAAAGAATGAAGGAGGGAAAGAATGTTGCAGGAGTGATGAGCATGTAAAAGAAAGATGTCTGTCTATAGCAAAAATGGAAAAGTATCAAAATATATGAATACAGTAATTGGGATAGACTAGACAATGCTATTGTTGAAGTGCAAGAATAAAGAGGAACCTATATGAACTTCACTTTTATACTCTTTAAAATTTGTACAATGGCACAGCAGTTAGTAAATGAGCCGCATTCTATGCAAGCCTAGCTCCAAAACCTGTTTATAACATATGTCAGACAAAAATCTGGAATATTATGGAGCTGGATGGTGTTAGCATCTAATAAAACATGTGGACAAAAGAGAAAAAGATCAAAGAAGACCTACAAAATAGGTGTAAAGTAAGGCTGAAGGCATTAGACATGCAATTAATGGCTGATAGAAAGACAAGAGTAAACATAACTAGTGATGGGACAATACCAAATTTTTTGCTGATACCAATACTCAATTTTAGGCCAATACTGATACCATCAAAATTAGCCATTACCTACCAATACCATCAAAAACAGCCAGTAACCCTTGATATCATTACTGATACTCAACTGAAAGCTGATACCAATACCATTGACATTAGCTGATACTCACCAATGCTTTGCCACACCCATAGTGGCAACCACAAAAAAATTCATCAAATATTACTAATGAGGAAGATGTCCTAGCACTATCAATGGAGACAACAAAGAGGTCATACCTATAAACTAGGAAAAAGCAAGTGCTGAAGGGATACTAGAAAGGTGAGCTTTACAGAGACTAGGAGAAGATAAAAAAATGGGTTAGAAGAGCTATTAGTATGTGCTGCAACCACTAGAAACTAAAAATTACATGATATCACAGACTGAATCTGAAACACCTTGAGATAATAAACATGTAATTACATATTCCCATACCTTCTACATTGATATGTCTACTGAAAATGTAATTTCACAATTGTTGTGCATGCTGCTGACTGGTAAACGTAACAAAAAGCAAGACTGTAAGTACTGTACAAGAAACGTGCAACGAGTTGTTGAAAAAACTGAGGTAGGCTAATAGCAGAAGCTGAGGCAGTCATTATGACACCATATAAATTAAAATGGAATGATTTCAATAGCAATTTTATTAATATGTAACTCCTTCAAAAACTGCTTATCCCATGTGATGCTTAACTTATATAAAATAAGTGTACCGAAACTGAAAGCCAAAATATGTTGTGTGTGCATTTTATGCCTAACCTACATTCAAATACAGTGTATTATACATTATGCCATAATTATACATTCCCATGCCTACTATAGTGTTATGTCTACTTAGGATAGTGCTATAGTGGTAAGTATTATACATCTTTTTTGCATTTTAGGGAAGGAGGGGTACCTTATACGTTTTGCTTTATGTTCATGATGGAATTTTGGTTGTGCCGGTTTAGCCTCAACCCTGACCACTTCATGACAATGAAACACACCTGCCGAGAGGGTCAATTTACACACAGTGAGGCTGAGATTAGCATACTAAGTGGCTGTGTAAACTGACAAATTGACTTTGTAGTAAATGTTTAACATGACTACATTGTCTCATGCTTCTCTCAAGTGCAGATTTTGATGCATATGAGAATAATTAATACTTTTAAACCCAGCCAAAAACATAAATGACCATAAAAATGACAAAGATTGCAGTGATGTGAAAGCTAAAAGCCTGCTGGACACAAAAGTTGTTAGTTAACAGCAGATTAATGTTGCCGTGAAGCCACGTAAAATATTACCAAAACTCAAAGAAAAACAATGTTCAGTATCTGTGTTCAATGTTATAAAAGTAACAGCAACTTCCGAAGAGTAATTACCTATTCACAGCTACACAAACAGAGCTGTGCTCATGAGGTTCCATCTTCCCTCCACTATTTTTTTTTTTTCTTTTTCAACAGTTGTAGTGCAGAATTTGCTATGTCCTCTTTTTAACCCAATACATAGTCCCACCACTCATGAAAAAAATATCCTGAATCATATCGTTGTTAGAGTAACTCAATAACAATTATTTAATAACATGGAGAGGTTTTGCAATGTCTGAACTGAGGGCCAAAATCAATGAAAGTTTCCAGTTACCAAGAGTTTTCTTGAAGATTAAAAAAAAAAAAAAAGGAAAGGAAAGGAAAGGGGGTGAAGTCACAAAAAATAAAAAAAAAATTTGAAGTGGAAAAAAAAAACCTCTCCGGAAACTTGAACTTAACATCTTGCATAATACGTACTCAGGTAACTGGCGAGGATGTAAATACATAAATCAAAGCTGCTGGCTCTTATTACAATGTCATGAAGGATAGGTGATAATAATTATAAGTTGTTGCCATCAATACCAAATCACAGTGAATGAAACACTGCTACTGCTCTGAAGAAAATCATTAATGATGGTAGCTTAAAGCCACCTATAGCATGTGTTTAATATTGACGAAACTGGACAATTTTTGACGCTGATGCCATCAAGAACCTACATATCCAGTGGAGAGAAGACTGCACGAGGGTTTGAGGCAGCCAAGGACCATCTTATACTTCTTGTGGATGGTAAAGTAGTAGGGGCTTTCAAGCTTAAACCCATGTTTGTGTACCACTCTGAAATGACAAGGGCAATGAAGGGCTTCTGCAAACAATCTCCCAGTAATTTTGTGCTTCATCAAGAAATCATGGGTAACCGACTACTGTATGTTTCTGAAATGGTTCTTTTTTTTGAGCAGCTGATGAAAAAATGCTTCAGTGACAAACTCTTGCTCCTCCTTGTTAATACCCTATGCCATACCCTTAACTTTAATGGCTTTTCCACATATTGTATATCAGGGCTACGTTTCTTCCCAAAAACAAAGGATTAATTTTATAGCCATATTGAAGGCTTATTATTTACGAACCATTTACCAAGTTATCCGACACAGATAGTACTTGTAAACCACCAATTAGGGTGCTCTGGAAAATAATTCAACATGGATACCATAATAATCATGCATGCATCCTAGGACGACTCACAGAATCCACAATGAAAATTTGTGAAAAAAAAAAACTGTGACCATATTGTTTCATGGACTTTCATGGATTCCAGTTGAGAGTTCCAGTCGCAAGAGGATCGTTGACTTTGTATATAAAGTAGGTGTTGGCAGTTTCAATGAGGCTGATATGGTGAAGTTGTTGAAGTCAAACAGAAAGACCTTTGCAAGGAACTGATGCAACTTGAGCAGGAAGCTGGACTAGAAGATGAGGACCATGACACTGCTGATTCACCTGTCCTTAGTAATTTAACCAAAACGATTTGTCACAGTTTTTCAAGCAAATTAAAGCTGTTTTGGGGGTCATTATAAATACACAAATAAATAAGAGCACCATGCCAAGATCGTAGCTTCAGTATCAGTAGTGAGATCAACAGTGTTGCACAGCTACACTTTTTTTCCTTCATGCAGCTGCATGAAGAAAAACAATTTATACAGCCTTCACTTTGCAAAATATCATATTCAGTCCAT